TGACTAAATTTGTAGAGTATTTTGAGGTCCACAGTTGACTGGTATTATAGAAATGCAAACATGTTTGTATTCTACGCCATCAACAAAGCATCCACGTCTTACGTTTAGAACTTTGATATTAAAAAAGCAAAATCTATATCATGCTTCAGATACCTTTGTATATTCCCCCAGTGAAGTCATCCATCTGAAGGGAGAATATTGTTTCAGGACCAATCCTGGGAGGATTCAACATGCCACATTGAATATAATCTAGTGGCAGTGGCAAAGAGGCAGATAAAGGGTGTGAATAAATAGTGTTGATCCAATAGTAAGAGTACTGACCGAAGTGCTTAATTACAGTATAAGAAGTTGAAGTAAATTGAGAAGCTAGATGCTGCAGGGTGGTGAGTTATCAAGAATATTTTTCAAACACATCTCATGAGCCATTGAACAGCTGGCAGTAAGAAATACTATTTCCCTCCATAAACTTCTCATCAGTGGCTTCCCTTGCTGCCAGTTTCTTCTAAGCATGCGTCTTTTATGCAACCTTGAATAAGCCACTATTATGGTGTGGCAGTCAGAGTCAGTAAAAATCCTAGACATTGTTCTAATCTACATCATTTACATTCATGCCTATGTAGTTATGCCCTGTCAAACTCTCATTCTGCTTTGCATTGTGGCCAATCTTCCCTCTCTTCATTAACCCTCACTGCACCATCTGCATACAGTTTTTCACATGTTAGCAAGCAATGCGTATTCCTCCACACATAGAGGAGGCCTCATTAAGCACTAAGTGTCAGTACCTTGGATTTCCTCTCTGCAATTCTTTCCACATTGCTTTGAAACTGGCAGGAATAAGCTTTTCATATTCAGAGATGGTCTTTCATTGTCATGCTACAGATGTCGTTCTGTGCACTGAGTCTGGATTATACTTGCTAGGCCATGATCCCAATACCATCCTCCTGAGAAGATTTTCTCCAAGTACAGTTCATTTTTCTCTCATTCAAAGTAAACGTTATTAGAACTCTTGTAAAGTCAGCAGGCCAACATACAGAGCCAAAGAAATAATTTTCCTTAGTCCAAATGAAACATTCTTAGGTAGCTTTATTAACATTGTGCTGGATCACCATAATGCTACCTGCAAATGACAATGGCAGGCTTCATTTTACAGTATGTTTTACCTTCCTAGAGACACGATTAACCCTTGTGTTTACAAAGTACAGCATGGAGTAACTGTGTAACTTAAAGTTCCAGAGTTAAAAGCAAATATGATCACTTGGAAAAGATAGGGATGCAACTCCCATTTTTATTGTATTAACTATAGCGATGTTAGGCAATACATAATTTCTTAGAACAAAAGCCACCAACATGTTGTGAAGCTAAGAATAGGCAAATAACACAATGCACTAAAGAACATATAGCTTGTAATAGCTCCACCAGTAAGCTCCTGTGGGAATAAGATGGCTCATCAGAGATTACTTTTGGTAGCATAAAAGAAACCATTATCAACTCTCCTTATTTGTGAACATTGTGTCTAAAACTAATCTCATGTATTAACTCTGTAAACTTCTACTTTGTATGGCAGATATATTTTTAACCCTTAGGCTGCCACATTTTTGTTCTCATTTTGTTAATTAAATGGAATGTGTGGAAGATGTCTATTATGCTCATTTGATCAGCCTGGGGGTTAATTACTCAGTTTGGTAGACATCCGAAAATATTATGTTACTTCCAAAGGCAAAACTGACAGAAGCTTGTTTCAGTCTCATTTATGTCATTATGTGTGAATTAAACTAACTAGTCATAAATTACACTGGCTTAAGCCCATCTATTGGTCTCTAGACCTCCAAAAGGAAATAGAGTTGTTTTTTACAAAGAGAAGTAAATATCAAACATTTTTCATTGTTTCCTAAATTTGCTGCAATAATGCTGTTAGAAGAGACTGACAAGAGAAAAACAAGCTTCTCCAAAACAAATAAATATATTGAACTAATAAAAGTTATACTTGCTTATAAATTGTGGTGTTTCTTTAGAATTTTAGCCCAAACTACAAGTGCCTTGAAGTGACCTAAAGACTGCACCTAACAGCTTGTCTACACAGAGAGGCTCAGGGAAATTAATCCGAATTAACTAAATGTGTGAATTTAAAGTTGATTAGTTAAACCACATTAAACCCCTGTGTGAATGCTTTTATTCAGAATTAAAGTGACCAAAGGGCTTGTTTACATGGAGCCAGTAATAAGCTCCACAGGGGTCTGATTTCCAAAGCACACTAATGTGTTGCACATTAATTGCTCCACATAGACCCTGCTGACATGAACTAAAAGTTCCCTAGTGCACTTTAATGTGGTACCATACTACGGTTAACAGTACTACATTAAAAGGCACTAGGGAAGTTTTAGTTCACATGAGCAAGGTCTGCATGGGCCAATTAATGCACAAATATGCTAGTGCACTTTAGAAATCATACCCCTCTACTCTTCATTATTGTTCCAAGTATCTAAGCCTTCATTTAGTTAGTTTGAATTAAGGGTACTGTAATTATGAATAAAAGCATCCATACCAAGGTTTCATGTGGTTTAACTAATCCACTTTGAAAGTTAATTTAATTAACTTTAGTGAGTGTAAACAAGCTTTAGGTGGGGCATATTTATATACTAAGTAATGGGAACAGATAATCCATTAAAGGAAATAGTGGACAGTCACATGATTACCCAAACATCTGAATATTAGTGTGACACAACAACTATTGGAGTCTTGACAGTTGACAGTGAAATTTCCAAAACTACCTTGAATCTTTGACTGACACCAACGCAGCACACCATCAACATGGCATTGATGGTCTCAGGGAAAGGAAGGCACAAATATGATGGAAGTCCATTATTTATGGTGGCCTGCCACGAGACCAATAGGAATTTTGCATTGTTAATCTCCTTAGATGTAGAGTAATTGTTCTGAACATTACTGCTGATGTTACTTCAGAATTGGGTTTCAAACTTGGAAACATGGAAGGATAACACTGAAAGAGGTAAGAAACCCCAAGATTCCATCTATGGAATGGAACAAAATACTGGGAGTCCCTATTTAAAGGTAGGTAAAAAAATCTATTCAGTCTACCATAAAAAACTAAAAACCCAATTAAATAATTATCTCTTTCCACTGGTGCCTATTAAGAGCTAAAAAACGGATAGCTTGTACAGCATCTGGATTCAAATGTTCCCTTGTCAGTTACAAATCTTTTATCCATAATTCCAAATCAGATTTATAGGCTACTTCCCCAATCAAATCAGATAATATAAAAGTAATTTGATTCCAAACAAAAAAAATCTTCTCTCAAGCTGAAGTTAAGGCTGGGAGCAGTAGTGTGAATACAATTAATCTAGAAATACCCTACAGCGGTCTTTAAAAAAAAATTAGTTCTAATATGGACTGAAAAAGAAATTCTCCTCCTTCCTGCATCTTCCTCAGAATAGTCCCTGCCTCTCACATACTTCTTGGGAGTCACAGAAAGAGACCCCTTCTGCGTAGGCATGATCAGAAGATGTCCACGAGGCAAAAAGCATTTGCCCCACAGCAAGCCTTGGGATTTTTATCAAGTGTCTTCCCAATCCACTCTCCCTGCAAGCATGTGGAAGCTTCTGGGTGTCCCCCCAGCTTCCATCTTGCAAATACTCAATTACCTTTGTGTCCCTACATTCCTTCAACCACCTTCTAAGCTTTAGGAAACTTGTTCCTAGAAAGCTATGACTGCTAAATGGTAAAATGAACCTAAATAGGAGTATCAGCCTAACAATGACACTTCAGGATCATCTAAGTCTCATGAGGTTTCTAGAGGGTGATAGTTGGGAAGCATCTCAACATCTCTTAAAGCTTACTGAGGGTGGGAACCATTTCTGTACCTACAAAGTCTGCAGATAAGGAGCAATGTCCCTCTGTTCTGCTGCTCCCAGACTTCCCATACCCACTGTCCCCTTTTGCTCTCTACCTCATTGTTCCCCATTGTGTGGCCACTAACCATGTTCCACCCCATGCTCCACACACTGCGTAATTCATCTTCTGGTGCACATCCTGAATTCTTATGCACATGCTCTGGAGGTTTGCAGGAAGGAGGCAGAGAAACTACCAATGGAAGACAGCAGATTAGGGAGATATCCCTCTCACCAAATCAATTAATCCAGTAAATGTAATTGTTGAAGTCTATTTGTACAATGAAAGGTTCTAGAAACTTACTTCTTAAAAATAACAGCTCAGGTCACTATGCCTTACTTGAGAGCATTCTTTTAAGCCCATCAGAGCCAATGAACCATTCTCTTGTCACTAATTAAAAATGATAGATTAAGCCATTAATCTTTGCTTCAGTGCACTAAATTTGGGGTGAGATTTTCCGAGGCAGAAATGGTAGTCTGGTTCACACAACTACCACTTAGCCTTTGAAAATCTAATCTTTGATTATATGGGTCTAGCAAACTAACTTTTCTATAATCCCCTTACTCTCTGATACAAAAAAAAGCAAAAGAAAGAAGAGGGTGGCTTTTTTGTTTGTTTGTTTTTGGACTCTGGTGAACATTTCTATTCTAGAACGCAGGAACCCCTTTTTAAGTTCCCTTAAAATGTTCTCTCTTGTCCTAAACCTAAATTTCTTATTCGGTAGATGAATATAAATATACCTTTATTTGTAGAGGGATGAGGGTAGTATGAAAATTGGGCTTATCTTTCATACCCAACTGCAATCTTAATTATGCAATAGCTAGAGGCACTCCATTACATAGGAAAGAATCAGTAAAGGAGGTTATTTTTATTCACATTAAGGTGGAGGTAAGGATAAAGTATTAATTTAGTAAAATTTAGTTATTCAGTAAAATTCCAGTGAAATAAAGCAAGACAGTTAAGTGGGTAATCTTTTATCTTGTCAATATATATGTCACTGGCCAGTGAAATAGATCGGTGGTGTACAAGGTTGACAAGTCAATATCATGCTATGAAGCAAACAATGAAATTGTCTTACAGTTCTTAAGTCTGACCTGTTCCAGCGCAAAGCTGCCAAGCAGAATTATGTCATCCTGAACATCTTTTTCAAACTGTTCAATATACGGAGGAATCCCATCATCTTCAACCTCCTTGTGAAGGTCAAGCCTCTTAGTGAAGTTGACAGGCTTTACTGAGTCTGAGAAATCTTCACAAATGACATAGGCTGCTTGAAACAAAAGTGGCAGATTATTTTTTACAGAAGAGCATTTAGTTCATTTATTAGTACTTCATGGGCCACCTACCTTTATGACAACTATCAATGCTATGAAAAAAACATGATGACTTTGAAAGATTTGGTAACATATCCCAAATTTCATAATTAGGAAAATTATCCTAAAGACTGGCAAAGGTTTATATAACCTCAAAGCTGTGTAGTTCTCTTTGTTTTTAAAATAGTTATTACTGGGCATTGCTCAGGTCCTTAACTTGTGCACTTTCCTCTCGCTCCCTGACAGTGACAAAGGGAAAAGCCAGCAATGTCCCAGTATGAATCTGGGGGGGAGAGTAGCTTCAGCTCCTTCCCCTCCCTAAAGGACATCTGGGGGGGGGGTGGAAAGCATGGGAATGGAACAGTCCCAGATGTGTGGGGGGTGCCCCTTTCACTTGCTTAATGATTATGTCTCTCTTCTGAATGGCTTTATGAAAAACAATCCCATTCCAAGCACATCCCACCTTCCTGGCACAACAAACCCTGACCTTGCTTTAAGCTATGATAAGAGGAAGCTGCCTACCAAATGTGGTGATCTTAGCTTTTATTGTTTAGGAGAAGTTCTTGAACAAACAGACAAATAGACACATAGACAAACTCCCAAAAATGTATAGCAGAAGTCACAATTCAGAAAGAAGTTTTACAAATACAGGGACATTTTGTTTCTAATACAAGTCGACTGATATTAAATGAATTGGAATCAGGGTTGACGTGGGCTGGCGGAATTATGGAACTATAAGAATAAATTCCTATCTGAAGGAATTGTGAGGAGGAGTCATACTAATAATTTCACCTGAATCCCACTCCTCTTGAAGGATCATACTTTACCCACAGGCATGCACATTCAGTTCCTATTTAATTAATTTGGCCTAATTCTGTTCAAATTACACCTGTGCAACCGAGCGGATTTCAGTGGAGTTCTATGGTTATAACTAAGGTGATGTCTAGAGTGAGCCACAGTTTGGACTACAGAGGTGTAAACAACACTGCATGTTAACATGCTGCCCTGTTAACTCCCATATGTGGACACTGTGGACGTGAAATAAAAGGTTACTAGTTCACATAAATGTAGGGCTGTTTGCAAAGGGCTAAATTATCCCAGCCCTTTTAGTTCATACACATGGCATCTACTCAGGAGAGTTACAGTGCATCAGTTTGGTGCGTTCTGTTATTCCCACCACCATAGACCAAACTGCAGAGCACGGTAGATACGCCTAAAAGTAATATTCAGCCCGCAGTATTTATACATTCAGTGCTATGTGCTGTCAAACAGACAATCCCAAACATCCTATTTATTCACAAAGTGTACATTAAAAAAATAGGTTTTCAGTATTTCCAATATAATTCAATATGTTGCCTCCCAGAATATCCTCTCACTTATCTCTTGGAGTATTAATACTAGTTTTGGACACAAATAATAAAGACTCTTTTGCTCATTTCTCCATATTAGGATCACTAAGACATGACAGCTCCCAGGTTGTCCACATCTCACTTTGTCTTAGCTGCATCATTTATCTGCAAAGAAATGCGTGTTTTTCTACTTCTATGTTTCTCTTTCTCTGCAAGAAAACTTCATATCTAGATATCTGTCTGTCTCTCCATGCATCTTCAGGCATAAAAGCACTTAGAAGATTTTTTTCTCACTTCCCTTTGAAGTCTTTCATTCTCTAATGAAGACCAGAAAAGGAAAGATAAAATAAGGCTATTAAAATTTTCAGTTTTGTTCACTACTTATTGTTGAACGACTTTAATAGTGGAGGCTCCCAAGTACTTAAATCACCTCAATGCCACCAACACACAGGAAGCAGTGTATTTTTTTCAAATTTAATTACAACAGGATACAAATTTAAAATCATGTGGAGGGGGTGGGGAGTGTAGAGTAGATATAAACAACTAAAGCCATTACCTTAGGGTACATAGAATCTCTTCATGTAGCTTCTTACAAGACTAATGAAAAGTGATTTGACCTACAACTATTAACTGGAAAAACAAAACAATATTTACATTTCAATTTACTGTAGCATTAAGGGTTTGGCAAGAAGAGAGAAAATCCAAGAAATGCTGGAAAAGAAAACACTGCCCAGAGCAGAGGATACAACATCAGGTGTTCCCTTAAACTCTTTCTCTGTTATACTCAGTGTGCCTGATCTTCAGCTGATGTAAATCAGTGAGGCTTCATTTCAGCTATACCAATTTATACAAATTGGATCTGGCCAAATCTGCTACATTCTTATCTTAAATTCTGTGAGCTTATTAAGGCAAATTCCTGCACATTAACATGAAAATAAAAACATCCAGTCCACAAATGCACTCCAACATGATTTTTTTTCTCTTTGTGGTCAGCTTTCTTTCTTTATTTCGTTAGCTCTATAATCTAATGTATTCATTTTGGAGGACTATGTTTGGCTGATCAAAACTGTGTGCTCTGGAAAAGAGTGAAAGGACAGAGAGAGTCATTTTAAAGAATCCTCTCAAGGGAAGTACCTACTAAAAATATACTGCTAAATTAAGGTTCAGAGTAGAAAGTATTTGATTAAAAGAATTTAACGTCACCTAAATGCTAGCTCAGCTAGTCAGAAGAGCAGTTCTGCCTGATAGAGACAGAAAATGAACTGGGCTGCTCAGCCAGCACTAGTCTCTTTTAGATTGGCATTACTAAACTCTTTGATTTCCTCCATTAGTCTGCCAGTAGGTACCCATGGCTGTGCCTAGACTACATGCCTCTGTCGCCTAGATTAGACACCAAGATAAAGAAAAGAATTGTCACAGGTCCAAAAATCTTAAGTGTCCCAGGTTTTAATTAATGTTAACTCCTCCAACTAATCAGCAGATTTACTTTTGAATTCTCAGAAGACATTTTTCTGTGTTGAAAGAGTAAGTGCTGTAAAGTTGGGAAGGGGAGACTGTACTTTTTGTATGTAACAAAATCCTTGTTTGAATCCTTAGTTTACTCACCAATAACTTTGAAGACCGGAGTTCACATAATGACATTTTCTCCAACATTGTGTGGGTCCGTTCAGACAAATGGGGTACGTCTAAACTACATGGCTCCGTCGACGGAGCCATGTAGTTTAGACGTACCCCATTTGTCTGAACGGACCCACACAATGTTGGAGAAAATGTCATTATGTGAACTCCGGTCTTCAAAGTTATTGGTGAGTAAACTAAGGATTCAAACAAGGATTTTGTTACATACAAAAAGTACAGTCTCCCCTTCCCAACTTTACAGCACTTACTCTTTCAACACAGAAAAATGTCTTCTGAGAATTCAAAAGTAAATCTGCTGATTAGTTGGAGGAGTTAACATTAATTAAAACCTGGGACACTTAAGATTTTTGGACCTGTGACAATTCTTTTCTTTATCTTGAATGATCATCAAACTTCCTGTGTAATTTACATTATTCTTGCATGCTTTATATTTGAATAAATTATGCTATAATTAATTTATGTTATTAACAATTATTTTTGCTAATTGTTATGATTATAATAGGCTACGAACAGGATCAGCTCAATCTTTCAGGAAATTCCTAAGTGGGGCCACTGTGACATCAGTGGTAACCCAATCAATCACCAACTTTTCCATGCAAATAATGTGCAACAATTCCATTAGTCATAATGACTGTTTTGGGACTGGTTCTGTTCAATATCTTCATCAACGATTTAGATGATGGCATAGAGAGTACAATTATTAAGTTTGGAGATGATACCAAGCTGGGAGGGGTTGCAAGTGCTTTGGATCAAAATTCAAAATAGGATCAAAATTCAAAATGATCTGGACAAACTAGAGAAATGGTCTGAGGTAAATAGGATGAAGTTTAATAAGGACAAATGCAAAGTACTCCATTTAGGAAGGAAAAATCCGTTTCACACATACAGAATGGGAAGCTATTGTCTAGGAAGGAATACTGCAGAAAGGAATCTAAGGGATCAGAGTGGACGACAAGCTAAACACGAGTCAGCAGTGTAACACCACTGCAAAAAAGCAAACATGATTCTGGGATGCATTAACAGGACTGTTGTGAGCAAGACACAAGAAGTAATTCTTCCACTCTACTATGTGCTGATTAGGCCTCAATTGGAGTATTGTGTCCAGTTCTGGGCACCACATTTCAAGAAAGATACGGAGACATTGGAGAAGCTCCAGAGAAGAGCAACACAAATGATTAAAAGTCTAGAAAACATGATCTATGAGTGAAGACAGAAAGAATCCAGCTTGTTTAGTTTAGAAAACTGAGAGGGGACATGATAGCAATTTTCAAGTACCTAAAAGGGTGCTACAAGGAGAAGGGAGAAAAATTGTTCTCCTTGGCCTCTGATGATAGGACAAGAAGCAATGGGGTTAAATTGTAGCAAGGATGGTTTAGGTTGGACATTAGGAAAAATTCCAACTATCAGGGTGGGTAAGCCCTAGAATAAATTGTCTATGGAGGTTGTGAAATCTCCATCATTGGAGATATTTAAAATCAGGTTAGATAAACATCTATCACGGATAATATAGATGGTCCTTGGTCCTGCTGTGAGGGCAAGGGACTGGACTTGATGACCTCTTGAGGTCCCGTCCAGTTCTTATAGTCTATGGTTCTATGTAAAGGAGCACTAAAGCCACTTAACTAACAATGCATTCAAGCTTTGCTATGCTGTACTGGTAAACCAGATCATTAAAAATATTGCATGGTAGCATTTTGTTTGAGTTTCTTGTTTCATATTCATTAATGATATTGTAAACATTTTTTATAAAACAAGGAAACTCCAAGGTCAAAAACTATATTAATTTCCATTAATAATACATACTTTATAGGTAACTTCAGAGCAAACACTGTACAGTTATCTGAAAAACAGCTATTATAAACCAAGGGAATTCAGTTTTACCATGACTCTCGAAAGAAATCCAAACTTGTTAATGAATGAAAATGCACAGTTAAGGCACCCAAGCACACTTAAGTTTTTCCTGTTACCCTCTGAAGGGGGATAACCATCCCTGAAAAACCAATTTTAAACTAATCTAGGATTTTATACATTAAAATATCTTCATCATAATTGTATATTTATTGCACTATCATCACTTTAGAGATATTTGGATCACAATCTGAAACTTTCATCTAGAACCATTTTTTAACTAAGGGACAGAACGTTTTACAACATTCTTTTATGCTCTGCTATTAAAATTCATTGTAATACCTGATTATCTAAAACATTGTGAAAATATCCTACATTGGTAACTCTCACTTTCCTCAATGAAAATATACTTTAAAGTTACAATTATAGAATAAGCCATTTTCTTCTCCCTTCTTGCAGGCTGATTTATGGGTGCTTTTCCCTGTCTCATAATGGTGGAACTCATTAATATCATACTGTGAACATAAATGGTGCTGTATCTCAGTGTTAGAGCAGGAGGGTGGCCTAGTGGCCAGGGCACTAGCCTGGTGGCGTCAATACCCTCTTTTGCCACTGATACCTGTGTGTGTCCTAAGGCAAGTCACTTAATACTTCAGTTCCCAATCTGTAAAATGCGAGTTGCAGTACTGCGCTCTCTCACAGGGGTATTGTGAAAACAAATGGATTAAAGATTGTGAGGTGTTCAAATACATGGGAGGCCATATAAACACCACAGAAGGATCCCAAAAGCCAATATTTCCAATGCTGAATGGCATGTTTTACCACAGCAAAACATGTTTTTGTTTTACCCAATGTTATTACATGATAAAAGCAACAATCCACTTGCAGCCATACTTTGATCTTATTCAGTAATGTGGAACACCACATTAGCATGTAGCAATACAGGGCTTGCTAACAATCTGTTAAAGGTTTTTGCTTACATTATCTGCACTTATTTAGCTATGGTAGTTGTACTTTCTTTTCCTTGCATTTAAAATGGAGCCACATAAGTTTCAACTATATTAATCATACAGCCAGTGCCAGTTCAAGGGATTTTGCAACCCTGGGCAAACTGAAAAATGTCTGCCTCTTCTAGAACAAAGTTACTCAAAATCTTAATAGTCATAAAACACATTGCTGCTCCTAAAGCTTGGCTGCCCTAGGCAACTGCCTGGTCTGCCTCCCCTATAGACCAGACCATGGATGTAACCACACAAGAACACAAAAATCCTGTAAAAAGACAGTAAGAACAGAAACACACACACATGCTTCATAGGAAGAGAAAAATGACAAGGCAAGCCATGAACTTGTGGGTCACTTATATTTCACCTACCTTAAATGAAATAGAAAAAAAAAGCAGCGGGTATGCACAGCATGTAAAGGTTGTAAAGGTAATGGTTCAGTGCATTCATTGGATATTAAATAAATATTGTCAAACCAAGTAAAGCAAGAGTAAGCCTGAGAGTTTGGCGGAGTCAAGGATCTTCCTCTCCGTTTCTCTGTTGTTTTTATCGGAGATGAGGTAACATCCTATATTTTGGATGCATTTCCTGAGTTTGCTATTTGTAATAAAAGTAAGGCCAGCTTTTTCCAACTCAGGTACTAGCATTACAAAACTACATCTCTGGTGTAGACACCAAAATCCCTTTTTCACATATACATGCATTGGATGTTCAGTGCTTCTGACAATCAGGTTACATATTTATATGTCTAAATAAAGGTTTAAATCATTAACTTTGGACATCCAAGTTAGAATATTTTCTATCCTTCACTCCGTGTAGAGCAGCAGTCTAAAGAATATGCACCATTCAAGTTCTATTTAAATACATATAATCATGAATGACAAACTATTTTGGGTGAGATCTCTTACCTGCTTCCATTATGTTCAATGGGAAATTTACCTTCTACTTCAATGCATGCAGAGATCAGCTACATTTAAATATTATAGTGGGATAACACTTATGACATATATATGCACAGCTCAGGTATCTGAATGGAAACATTTAGTTATTTACCTTGAGACTCTGCCATTTTATTTTCTTCATCTAGAAGTTTCAACAGTTCACCATAGAGAATTTTCTCATCTGAATTCATAGACACTTAAAAAGAAAACGTGCAAATCAGATTTTCCATCAGTTGTTTTTGTAGTGAGACATAAGGAATTTAAACAAGCCTTTCTGACCTTCTAAAATTAATTGTAGATAATTGATTGCTGTGACATTTATCACAACTTGGTACAAAGTTATAAAATAGTGCTTTCCCAAAACTAAATTATGGAACAATTTTTAAAGACGATGCTTATTTTATATGTTAATTTATATAAGTCACCTTCATTCTCTCTCTCTCTGTCACACATGCACCCAGAGTTTTTCTCTTGAGGTAACAATCTATTTGTAATATTTCACATATTTGAATATTCAAATATTAGCTGAATTCTTTTTTCCTTCCTAATAAAAGTACAAATAACCAACAAAAAAAATCTTTTTTTTTTTTTGTTCTTGAATATTTAACAGGAATTTTAACACACTTTACATTTTAATAACACTCTGTAGGGGTAGCATTAATATGAAAATATTCTGAGTATTTACAGCTTCCCATGAACCTGGGTTCTATAACCAGACTATCATATAAGTAGAAAATTGGTCCTAAAAGCCTTTTTCCTCAAAATATTCACCCTTCATTTTTGTTTGGTTTTGAGGAAAAAATCAACTCTAATAAATCTCAAGAACAAACTTAGTTTATCACACAGCAAAAGGTATTTGTCAATAGATTTTCAGGAGAATACATTTACAAATATTATGCTATAGCTACCTGAAACTTACATTTAACTTTGAATAATATTGCTAGTGACAGAAGAATCACATATGATCTGCTGATAACTCTCAGTATAAGACTGTCTGAGTCATAGAATGAGTGTTCTTTTGAACCAGATACAACCAGATACATGCCTTTATCTCTCCATAATGACCAATCACTGAATGAAGATGGTCACTGAGTAAATAAGTTTTCCTCTGTCAATATATAACCACTCCAAATTGAAAACTCCACACTTTAGGGCTGTATCTAGACTGGCAAGTTTCTCCAGAAAATTAGCCGCTTTTCCGGAAAAACTTGCCAGTTGTCTACACTGGCCACTTGAATTTCCGCAAAAGCACTGACTTCCTACTGTAAGAAATCAGTGCTTCTTGCGGAAATACTATTCTGCTCCCATTCAGGCAAAAGTTCCTTTTGCGCAAAGCTTTTGCGCAAAAGGCCCAGTGTAGACAGCTCAGATTTGTTTTCCACAAAAAAGCCCCGATCGTGAAAATGGCGATCAGAGCTTTTTTGTGGAAAAGCGCGTCTAGATTGGCACGGATGCTTTTCCGCAAAAAGTGCTTTTGCGGAAAAGCGTCCATGCCAATCTAGACGCTCTGTTCCGAAAATGCTTTTAACGGAAAACTTTTCCATTAAAAGCATTTCCGGAAAAACTTGCCAGTCTAGACACAGCCTAGCTGAAATTCTCCTCTCACTTTGTCTGCTATGCTTAGATGTAACTCCATTGACTTCAGTGAAATTACTCTTTACACCTGTGCAAGTGAGAACAAAATCAGGCCCAGAGTCTCTTTGGTACCACAGGTGACAACCAGTTCAGAAATGCACAATACCAAGCTAAACTATTGTGGATCTCAGAACAGTATTGAGGGTTCAGAGATGGAGTCCACATATATAATAGTGTAAGCATATTGTTCTGCACCCTCTTAGTTTTCTTCTGAGTTACTGATTCTCAAGAGACTGTCAAATTCAGAAGAGAATTGTATCCCAGCTACAGAATTCTATAGAAGACTAAAAAACCCATGGAAAATATATTCATCTATTGAACATTAAGGACTCAGAGACATTTCTATAGAGCCCTATCATATTTCTACAGAACCATAATAATTTTCTCCCTATAAAATTCTATAGTACTTCTATACAAGGGAAATCAAACAAACTTCTGCTATAATTGCCAGGTTTTGCTTCAGAGATGTGGCGGTAGGCAACAAAAAAGATTCTATGACATATTTGGTCTCAGAAACATTCAAAGTGCACATAAGTGAGTGGGGAGAGCAAAGGTCCTTTTCTTCAGAGGATGATTAGAGCAACAAAAGAGATGCCAAGGGACAAGGAGTGAACCGGTCAAGCAATAGTAGATTGCTGATAAAGGAAAGGAGAGCCACAGACTGACTTAGTTCTGTGATGTACAACCACAACATACATATGATTATGAATAATTTACCTCAAAGAAATGCCCTCATCCATTCTGTGCCCTAGCTTTGCCCTAGGCAATGATGTTAGGTAAAAGAATAAAGTAAACTCCACATAGCATTGTAACTGTTCTTTAAATCTCAGTAGAACCAATCTGAAGCTGGCTACTGTTGCTAGCATGCCTCTAATAAATTGGGCTTTCACATGGCCTTTGAGTGACAGTCCTGCCAGGGGAAAACAAAGAGAAATTCAAAAGGACAGACATTTAGACATGTTCTCTTAGCTACAGACTGACCTAATATGTTAATGTCAACAGAAATAAAAAAAATTGAATGGATTTTCTAAGGGCTTTCATCTGCTCCTGACAAACACCCAAGGAAACATTTAGGACTCAACTTATATAGCTTGTCCTCCCTAACATGGGCATGACGACAGGACATATATAGCCCTGACAATAATTTGATTAAGGTAGAACTTTTAAACGATCTTTTGAAAATCTTTGTGATTTTTGAATCGATCTATAGATACACACACATACTTAAATACATAATATCTGCTTTCCTCTCTCTCCCTCTCTCTGAATATAAAGCAGATCATGGTTTTGAAGCTCATTTATTAAATAAGTCAGAGCCACTGTCACCAAGAATAAATCCTTCCTTGTAAGAAACTTCATCTTACACAAATAATGCAGGTTTTCTTCCTAAGGCTCTCTTTGATATCCCCCATTCCTCGGATCATCCTAGTGGCCCTTCTTTGTACCTGTTCTAGTTTGAATTCATCCTTCTTAAAAATGGGAGACCAGAACAGCACACAGTATTCCAAATGAGGTCTCAACAATGCCTTTTATAACGGCACTAACACCTCCTTATCCCTACTGGAAATACCTCGTCTAATGCATCCCAAGACCGTATTAGCCTTTTTCACGGCCATGTCACAATGGTGGCTCATAGCCATCCTGTGATCAACCAGGACTCCGGGGTCCTTCTCCTCTTCCGTTACTTCCAACTGATGTGTCCCCAGCTTATAACTAAAATTCTTATTATAAATCCCTAAATGCATAACCTTACACTTCTCACTATTAAATTTCATCCTATTGCTATCACTCCAAGGGTATGTCTACACTACCCTCCTAGTTCGAACTAGGAGGGTAGTGTAGACATACCCTGGGTGTTTGGTTAGATGCAATGTCCTTAATAAACCTGATGGTAAAAGATTTGGTGAAAATCATCTTACCTTCTCCCTGATTCATAAAAAATCAAATAAGAACCCCCAATGAATCCAATTCATGGCAGTGCTAATGATTTCTCTAAGTTGCATACCCATCAAAATCCTCTGCCTTCAAGACTCAACTCTTCATACTTTCCATGCAAAAGTAAGTTTCTCTCATTAACTTCAACAGTGGTCTATTTTCAGAAAGGTAGCCATGTTAGTCTGAATCTACAAAAGCGGCGAGGAGTCCTGTGGCACCTTATAGACTAACCAAAGTATTGGAGCATAAGCTTTCATGGGCAAAGACCACTTCATCAGATGCATGACGAAGTGGGTCTTTGCCCATGAAAGCTTATGCTCCAACACTTTGGTTAGTCTATAAGGTGCCACAGGACTCCTCGCCGCTTTTGTGGTGGTCTATTTTAAGATCCTCTATATTTTATGGGGCCACAGATTTTTGAGTCTCTACAACTCATAGTCTCTAAATATTTGACTAGGGTCCTGTATCCACAGGAAGGCTATGTCCCATTCAATCACAAGGCTCAAAAGTAAAGAGCTGGATAGGGAACATACGGGAACAACTCAGTCTTGCATATCACCACATTGTTGTTGCCCAATAGCAGAAGTAGGGACAAAGAGAGTAGTGAGCAGCAAAGTACCTCCATAATACCACAGTGATCATATTTAAGCCCGTGCATTCTTAGATATGTCTGTTTTCCACCCACATTCCAGATGTTTTTGTCCTGAGCTCCTGACAGTGCTACTTCCATCATATTAACTCTTTACTATATTGATCACCTTGTCTGGCATCCCATAGCATCAAGCAGTATTCCACAGGGTTTATCTGTGGACACAATTAATGGCTTTCTTAAAGTGGATAAGGTTTATTAACTAGCTTTTTTAATGATCTGTCAAAGAGTAAATATCTGTTCACAACATGATCTACTTGGAAAGAATTCAGCATGTTCTTCCTGTAATATTCTATCCACTGTCTTCATCTTTCTATTCAGCATAACTTTGCCTGGAACTAACAGCACCAGGAGATTATATGATCATAGAAGTATCAGCTCCATGCCAGGATGAGTGGTTCAATATTATTGCTGGAGTTAGACAAGGGCATATTTAGCACCAATTCTCCTTGCATTAGCAATAGTCTGGGCAATGAAGAGAGCAATAAAAGACATCATGGACAGTGTAAAATGGGTTAGCAGAGACATGTTACACAACCTTGATGTTGCCATCCAAATTGTTTTATTAAGTAGGTTGTAGAAGAGGAAGACTGGCCTTAAAACTGAGGTAGAAAAGGAAGCAGCAAAAATTGGACTAAAAGTAAATGCAGAGAAAACACAGATTATGAAAATAGGAAACACAGATTATGAAAAGGTGTACAAGGATGGAAAAGAAATTGAACAAGTGGAAGAGGTCTTGCATGTGGAGTGTTTGATGTCATCTGAAGGTGGTCCATGATAAAAATATCAATATTAAATTAGGAAAAGGAAAACACCAGTTTTGGAAGAATGAATATCTGGTCAAATAAAGATCTCCACCTAACTTAAAGTTAGATTAAACCAAGGGCATTGTACTGAGAATACTACTGTACAGATAGAGACTTGGCCAATGACAATGGCTAACAAAAAGAGATTGGAGGGGGTGGAAGACATTCAACATTTAATGGGAAGAGAAAATAACAAATATGAGAGTAAGGGAGGTGGCAAAGCTGGCCAGGTTAGAAAATACCAAGGAAAAAAGGCTCAGGCAATTGCATGCCATATGGAAAATGGGAGAAAAGCTATGCAAGCATTAATTTGGGTATCCGAGATAGGATGCTGGAGTAAAACAACCCTCCAGTCCTTGCTGTACAAAAGAACTTGCACAATCCAAGATGAAATGGACAAGTGCACACTCCACAAAGCAAATATTCCTTCTTATTGTTTCACATCCTTAATAAGCAGAAGAGAAAAATACTCAACGTGTTGGGAAAATATTTTATTTTCTGGTTACCCAGAAACTGGGTTTGCTGCATTCTGAGAAGCAACACAATCGATGACATTTGCACTTGGATGAGGACTTCAGGATCAGGTCTAGAAAAAAAAACTACTATATGGTGTTCTGTTCTGTACTGGCTACTTTAATTAGACAGAACTTTTAGGCCCACAGTTTTCTTGGAAGATGCTTCTGTGTCTAAGTATATATTCTATAGCTACAATAAAATACAGAGCAAAACACACAGCCCTTGCTCTTACCCGTCTGCTAATGCACTGTCCTTGATCAAAGACTACCTATACTGCCCACCATGTTCATGATAGTGAAAACATAAAATTTAATAGTAAGCATCAATATTTAAATATAACTGCATATGTGATCTTGTCACCTCATTTTCATGAATGGAAAAGAATATTTTGACATCAAAATTACATTCTTAATTCTGCCTCACCTTCTCCACTGACCTCCATCCTGCTCTGCCTTAGGTTTATTTCCTCATCCATCACTGGGTCAAAGTAATTTCTGCTGTATTCATTTCCTGTGGAAAGCACATGAAGTAAGGGTCAGTGATTATTAGAAGCACATGAACCAAAATGTTAATTTTGAAATCGACACCAGCATGCAAAGGGGAATATTTGCTACTTTATAAGCTTAATTTTTTAAACAAGTCTTCTAAGCCTACAAGAACTGCAATTATCTTGTGAAAGGTCAGGAAAGGTAATTTTGGAAACAAGTGCACTTCATGTTACTTTTGCTCAGAAAGTAATGAGAAAATTTTCAAATTTAGATCATATAATGATAAAAAAGACCCTAAGCCAAATTATTCTTGAGACACACATTACAAGTGAAAGTTACCAAGGCTGTAATGGAACTTGGGCTTCGCAGCTGACCTCTCCAATTTCAACAGTTTTAAATTTCACCATTGAGGTTTCAACGTCTGGTGCATCTTTAATGCAGTAGTCAACCAGGGAAGTGTTTAATTACAGAGGAGATACTGGAATGCTGCCTCATTAATCTGTTCAGCAAATGTATTAAGTTGGGCTGGGTAGCAAAACAAAGATCTGATGGGATAAAAACACTCTTTTAGCACTTTCTAGCTCAATAGCTGTTTTTATCTGTATTTTAGGAACTAATCAGCTTTATAAAAGAAAAAGACACACATTCACCATATCAAAAAACTATACAGTGTATCATTGCCACCAGCTGGCAACATTTCCTACACCATCAGCTAGAAGATTTCTCACTGAGCAAGGATGAGTTATACTTCTTCAAAAAATATTCTTCATATGGTAAAAGTGCCTTACTCTGCAAGTAGTGTCATTGAAATCAATGGCACTACGTACATAAAATAAAATGCTACTCAGCATGAGAAAATATGGCAGAATCTAGCCCCCAGATTTCTTCAGGATTATAGAATGAGGCAGTTTGCTTCTATTCTTTAGAGTTTGCCTCTATATTCTTGCAAATAAACATATAAGAGGGTAAACAGTTGAATCAAACACAGGAAAGGGTTAATGCATCTTAGGCTCACTATAGTAGTCTACAGTATATTTATTTTAGGATCAAAAATAATCCAAGTAGCAGCACTTTTTCCGAGACTAAATGAAACTCTGATATGAAACTAGGTTTAATTTATATTTCTGGACTGGCACATTTTGACTGTCAGTCTCTGTTCTTTCAATGTAGTAAGTACAAGAACTGAAAATTTGCTTTACCTTGAGGTCTCAATAAAGAAAAAATAAATGAGTTTCATTTTTGTTACTTTATCTGTCAACAACTACTAGGCTGGTATGAATCTTGGCAGTATGTAATCAAAGTCTTATGTACTGCAATAACAGAGCTATTCTACCTTATTCACTGTAATTGTTTTCCTCTAGCACAAAGCACTGTG